TGTGCCTGAGCCGTGGGAGCCACCATGAAAAATTCATGCCGATTGCTTCTTTGGCCCTAACTATGTCCTTAACATCTGCCAGCCCCACATTGCTTCTGGACTTCAAAGCAAACCCACCTTGAGGAGGCAGTGAGCTCTCACTGGGAACAGGAGGAGAGAATTCAGAGAAGGTTTCTCTTTTCTGACAGCTGAAATTTATCTTTATGACCAGACCACAGAGGAAAGTACACACGGGACAATCGTTTCACACTGGACTCAACAAAACGGCAATGGTTAGTTGTATCACGTACTAGCGCTTATTTTATGTCTTAGGCTAAACCTCTTTATCGGATCAAAATTACCTGTTGGGTAGAGACTGGTGAAAGCCCTTTACATTTCCAACCCTTGGAATTATGCCCCTTGGTTACCCTTCAGGCCTGTATTTGAACTCATCTTGGTGGTTCAATTTTCAGCCCAACAGTAGACAAGACTACCAGGTGAACAATCACAAAAGGGAGGTACACACACTCCTCAGCACAATCAACCACAATATGTCAGAAGGGCAGTCAGTGTTTGCCCAAGGAGAAAGCACTGATGGCAGGAAGGGCTAGAAAGGAGGAGGAATGGAAATGGGAGAGACAGGAAGGAAGTGGCAAGAGTGCTGTTATCTGGTGGGACATTTGGTCAAAGATCAAAATGTTAATGTATGGTTGAATGAAAAACTGATTTGCTCTGTAAGCCTGCATTCAAATTACAAAGAAATGTTTTTACAAAAGAAATAAACCCTCTTTATCTTTTGCTGCCCATATATTTCAAGTGCACCTAAAATATTTAGCAACTGAAAAGGTGGTGGTTTTTTTTTTAACTCAGCTGTTGAGAGAAAGTCTAGGGTTTCTGCCTGTTTGCTGGGAGACAGTGATTCACTTCTTTAGACATGTGGAGATAGGTCTAAACCCTAGTTGCCACTCCATTCACAAGCCCCTCTCTCTCCTTGTGGTAAGAGCCATTTATTTTGCACCAGAAAACCAGAGGAGTGACCACCAAAGATGCCCCTGTTTTAAATTAATTACAATACAATCCACCAGGAATGTAATTTCCAGCATACTGCCACCCCATTCATATCCCCTACCTGAAGGTTCTGGACTTTATTCTCCCCGAAGCCAAGGGCAAATTTATCTTCCTTAGATGATAATTGGCTACATTATCTTTGGACTTTTCAGAAATGCTGGCTGGCAAGTTTTAACATTTTCTTTCATCCATCTGGTTTGGTGCGTTTTTACAAAGCATTCTTCAGAAAGAAAGAGAGACAGAAAGGGGGAGGTAGGGAGGAAGATAGAGAATGCTGTGGGAACTTGCAGATCACACTGTGCATCTTATGACCAGGATGCATGGGTATTAAGAATATGTGATTTCATAAAAAGTCTAGCATGAGTCATTACTTTGGGACATCGCTGCCTCCCAGGGCTCTGGGGCATGGCTGCCTCCCAGGGCTCTGGGGCGGGGCCTTGAATTACTGACCCAAAGTGCCTAGAGCTGCTGCTGAATTCTAGAAGGGAACGGATTTGAAACACACCATTCTGGGAAATTTCTGCAGATTGATCAAAAGTTCTGATCTTTGGAGGCTTTCAAAATAGAACTTCTAGTGAGCAAATGCTTAATTGGTACCATTTAACATTTAGCTCAATCCAATATGTCAACACTGAGGTTATCCTTAGAATTAAAATAAGGCTATCCCCTCAGCTGCCTTATTTTTCACATTCTACCTGGCACCAGTAGAAAGCAGAGACTATATAAGGAGATAAAATGCAGGTTTGCCCCTAAGATTTAAAATGAATCCATTTTGTCAACCTTCTTCTATCTCACCTTTTACACAATCTTTCTGGTGCCAATGAAAAGCTGGAAAAATAAAAAAGTATGAGGGAGCCAAATGCAAGCTGGGTAATTATAATATTTATGAACAGCTTCCAATATATGTCTCTGGTTGGAAGAGAAATTGAAATTATTGAAAAACAATTTTACATGCTTCAATTATCTAATGTCATGGCACTGCATTAGTACGGAAATGTACAAATTCACTGTATTGGGTTTATTTTCTATTGGCCTTTTCAGAATAGGTAGGCAGGAAGTCACTAGGCGTAGAATATTTTGTAACTCTGTGATGTTAATGAACATTATGTTAACCAGAATATTTGTGGATTTATTTTTCTCCTCTCATAATTGACTAAGGCCATTCTCCCTGTTCTCAACTCAGAATTCAACACCTTTAACTTCTTATTATTCTGAGATTTATAGTGTAGTCCACAGCTGAATTGGATTTACTAACCAGAAGTGTGGTCTGTGGTGGTACATCTGGAAATCCTTTAAATAGCCACAATCCATTTGATAATACAATTTCCATTTTTACTATCTTTAATTTTTTATTGTAAATTGGGTGAAGGATTTCACAGCAGGTCGGTTTTCTATTCAGCAGCCCATAAGCATTTTGTTTCAGTTCATTGATTGAATGCCTCCCAATGTAACATCACTCTTCCCACTTCCTCCCTGGGTTTACCATGTCCATTTTTCTTTCCTATCCCTTCTGAACTTTCTTCTTCATAAATCCTGTCTATGTCTAGTCTTGTACTAGGCCGAGGAAGAGTTCTTTAAAGAATATGCCACTTGACCTGGTTTTGCAAACTGCAAACTGAAGAATAAGCATAATGGTCCACAGAATCACAAAGTCCACACTGATCACCAAATCCACACACTCTCTGTAAGGTCTGGAGAGAAGGAATTGATTCTTAGAATGGGCATGTGAAAATTGTTTTTGTTAATTGCCATCAAGTCAGTTCCGACTCATAGTGACCTTGTATAGGGTCTCAGAGGAGCAGCTGGTGGGTGCGAACTGCCAACCTTGCAGTTAGCAGTCCAGTGAGGATCCTACTCCACATGTGAAAGTACATCCAGCTAACTGCCACCATCTCCTGCCCCCAATGTTTGCAACAGATATCCACCTGGTAAAATAGACTAGACCCGAGGTAATCATACCCCTGAAGGGACCACTGTTGTTGTTAAGTGCCATGGAGTCGGTTCCGACTCACAGCCGCCCTGTATAGGGTTTCTGAGGAGCAGCTGGTAAGTTTGAACCACTACCTTGCAGTTCATACTGACCTTGTGGTAGAGTGCTTATCCTATAGCATTACACAAGGGACTATGGGACACAAATATGATCAGCCTACCATACGTGGAAGCAAAGTCCACATGAATTATCTGAAGAGACAAGCCATTCCTTGAAGATGTTTTTAAAGAAGGAAATCCAGGCAAACCTACTGATATCATTCTCTCTCTCTCTCTCCATCTCTCTTCTCTCTCTCTCTAGATATATACCTCTATTCATTATCTCTCTCTGCCTCTTTCTCTCTCCTTTCTCTTTCTTTATACAAACTGTAATTCTGGAAGCTATGCCACCAGCATTTTAAATACCAGTAGGGTCACCCATGATGGACAGGTTTCCGCTGAGCTTCCAGACTAAGACAGACTGGGAAGAAGGAGAAATGGACTAGTTCTGAATATTTAGTCACTGAGAACCTTATGAAGAGCAGTGGAACACTTTCCGCTAGCAGAACAGTGAATCACAGTGGCAGCAGCAATGAACTCAAATGTAAACAATGATTGGGAGGTTGGTGCAGGGCTGGGCAGTGTTTCGTTCTGTTGTACACAAAGTCGCCATGAGTTGGTACTGACTTGATGGCACCTACAACAACAACAAATCCATATGTGTCTGTCTGTATGGATATAAGCTTTTTATTATGAGTTGGGTGGAGGTTTACATAGTAGATGACCAGTTTTCCATTCAACAGTCCATACCATTTCATCTCATTAACTACAATTCCACCAAGGGGCCATCATTTATCCCACTTCTTCCATGGGTTCCTTGTTTCCATTCCTCCTTTCCTAACCCTTTGGAATTTTGTCCTTGGGTAATTGCTGTCCTTTTGATCGCAAATGGTTGGCCATTCTAAGGTGTGCGTATCTCACTAGTGTTGTGGTTCCTCCTATAGCCCTATGATGATAACATTTTGAGATTTGCCATACACCACGACGGTCCCCTAACTGCCTTTTACCAACAGTATAAACCCACACCCACTGCCATCGAGGTGATTCTGACTCACAGTAAACCTGTAGGGCAAAGTAGACCTGCTTCATCGATTTCAGAGACTCTACATGTTTCTGGGAGCAGACAGCCTCATCTTTCACCCCTCAAAGTGCTGGTGGGTTTAAACTGCCAACCTTGCGATTAGCAGCCCAACCCTTAACCAACTGTGCTTCTACAGCTGCTTGCCAACAACACAGTCACTTGCACGCACTCCCACAAGGCAGCACACGCTCTGGTGGACAGCCCTCGAATGCACCCACGCTCACCGTGCTTGTTCACACGTGTGCCGGGTTGTCTCCCTACTCTAACAGCACATTCTTCTTGCTCAGAGAATTTTTGAAGCTGCCTTTCAATGGCCAAACAGCTCAACTCAATTACATCCAGCTGAAATGTCCTTAAATGACTTGGGTGTATTTTCTTAGTGATTCAGACTTATTATTGAATCAGGCAGTGAAAAGAATCAGCTGTTTAAGAAACATTACTGGTTCTAATACAACTTAATATGTATGTATCGTTCCACAAGGATTTCATCATTAGATTAAAAGAGTCACAAAAAAATGTGTGGATACCAACCTTATAAAAGTCAGAAGATTTTTGGCTGTTGTTAATATATATTAACAGTGGACAGAGCCAAGGGCTTAAAAAAAATTTCTACAGTAAATAAGATCTTGCATTCAGAAATACCAGCCAATTCATGCTTTCTGCAAATCTTTTCCAAGAATGCAACAGCCCTGATCTCTCCCCATAAACTGTTGGTGTTAGGCCAAGATTGTACTGCAACGAGACAGATAAGACGGACTGTAAAATGCTCCCACCAGATTGTGGTTGCTCATTAAATTGAGACTCCATTGCCTTTGGAGGTACCATGTGGACTCTCAACACTCACTCGCTATGAGCAGGTGGATGAAGGGACTTGTCTTGTTCTCCCCGTTCCTCTCGTTAACAGCCTGGACGTAGTACGCACCAGCATCGGCAGGCCCCGCAGCCAGGATCACCAGCTGGTTCCCCAGAGTGATGGCTCTGTTGGGAAAGCAGAGGACAAAGTCAAACCGCTTGGTGGGACTTCCTCTTGGTTACATAAGGGCAAGTTCAATCAACACTAACAGAGTCCAGATTGGAAAGGCAAACACCCAAGCAGACGTTAGGACAATGGAGGCGTCTACACTGGTCCAGATGAAACACTGCAGCCGGGCTAGGGGTCGGAGCAGGCCAGGGCTTCCATATCCTCACCATTGAGGGTTGTTTGGAAATGACCCATCTGGAACTGGTTAAAACTCAAAGCTTCCTCTAGAGATTCTTGGTGAGACAAGTTAGAAACCAAGCTAGAGGAACTGCCCATTTCCTCCCAGGCGGGGTCATCTGGTGGCATAATTGCTACAGACTGGAACAGTTAAGGTTTTGTGCCAACTTAACTAGACCAGGAGTCTCAGCGGTTTGGCAGGTGGGATATAGTCCGCCCCCACGATGAGATCTAATATACTCAACTCTATGATGAGGTCCTGCTGTGGAGCTGTGGGCTAATGCGCTGGCCTGCAAGTCAGCTCGAATCGCAATGTCGGCAGTTCAAGCTCACCAGCTGCTCCTCAAAAACCCTATACAGGGTCGCTCTGGGTCAGAACTGACGTGACACTACTTAACAACAAATGACAAAATGATTCCCCATGTTGTGATCAGCCCATCAGTTGGAAGGGGATGTGGGTGGGATGCAACTCCCGTATGCAGGTCACAGCTCTGATGTGATATAAAGGGGCTTTCCTGGGTTGTGGCCCGATACTCTTTTGTCTTACAGAAGATAAAGGAAGCACCTACTGCCACCAGGATAAAGAGCCAAGAATGGACTATGTCCTTTGGGCCTAGAGTCCCTATGCTGGGGACTTCCTAGACCCGGGAGACAGAGAGAGATAGAGAAAAAATCTTTCCCTAGAACCCGTACTCTGAATTCAGACTTGTTTTTAGCCAGTGTGGTGCTGTAGGGTAAGCACTGGACTGCAAAGTCGATTTGAACCGCAAGGTGGTGGTTCAAACCCACCAGCCTCAGAAGCCTTATACAGAACCAACTCCAAGGTACTTAACAAGCAACAACAAACTATAAGAATATAAATTCCCCTTTGTCAAGGCCCCCCATGGTGTCTCTGTGATAACAGTACTAGTGAACAGAAGTTGTTGTCAAGTGCCATCAAGTCAAATCCTACCCATAGCGACCCTGTAGGGTTTCCAAGGAGCAGCTGGTGAGCTTGAGCCACTGACCTTGCAGTTCAAAGGACTTTGCAATCTGACGCATTAACCCATAGCATCACACCAGGGACAGATAGTAACAAGTTACCACCAGCGGGGTAGGTCTTCTCACAAGAAAGTCAGCAGTCTGCCAGCCCTCCCATTAGAGATGCTGTTTTATTTAAACTAAGAAGAAATGGAAGAGGAGGAGGGAGAAAGGAAGAGGGGACCTTCACAAACCCCAAGCACCTCTTCATTGAAATGGGTGCCCTATGTGCATGTTATAATTCTGTATTTCTATGGTCCTGTTAAAAGGGTGGTAAGGAGGAATTGACTAAAAGAAAAAAAATTAAAAATACAAAGGAGAGCAAAACCTCTGTCGGGTGAATTGGATTCTGAGGGTATAAAATGTTGTGTGCAAAAAAAAAAAAAAAAAAAGTTGTGGGCACTAAAATATTGTTTCGTCTATGTTCTTATTTCCCCAAGGTCAGGGGTTCAAACTCATCAGCTCACCAGTCACTCCTCAGAAAGCCTATACAGGGTTACTATGGGTCGGAACCAACTCGATGGTACCTAACAATAACAACAACACTATCTCTTTGGGGATAGAACAATGGCTCTGTAGAATAAGCACTGGACAGTGAACCATAAGGCCAATGGTTCAAGCCCACCAGCTGCTCCACAGGACAAATATGAGACTTTTTACAAAACATTTACAACTCCTGGTATGGCGCTATAGGATAAGCAATGAACAGTCAACCATAAGGTCAGTGGTTCTAAACCCACTAGCTATTCCTCAGAAACCCTTTGCAGGATTGCTCTGCGTTAGAACCAATTCCACAGCACTTAAACAACAAAACAACTAGCTCCCTGGAGCCACAGTGTTTAAGGTAGGTGGCTCAAATCCACCAGCTACTCCTCAGAAACCCTTTGCAGGGCTGCTAAGTTGGAACAGACTCCATGGCACTGAACAAACAATAAAACAACAACTAGCTCCCTCGAGTCCCAGTGTTTTGGGTTGATGGTTCAAACCCACTACCAACTCCTTAGAAACCTTTTGCAGGGTCGCTCTGAGATAGAACTAACTTGTTCCCTGGTGTCCCGGTGTGGTGCTGTAGTATTAGCACTGGGCTGCTAACTACACGGTAGGTGATTCAAACCCACCAGCCACTCCTTGGAAACCCTCTTCATGGTCACTAAGAGTCGAAACCAACTCTACAGCATTTGACAACCCAACTAGCTCCCTGGCTCCTTGAATGAAGTGTGTGGCCCCAGTGTGTTACTCTGTAGAGTAATTAATTGTATGTGCTTTTTCTTTAATTCTAGGTTATCACAGTCCTTCCTGATTTAGGCAAACTCAGATCTCTATTCTGGTAACATCATCAATTCCATGCCGATGAGCTCGCTCACATAGGAATTTTAGTATAGTCCTCTCTTGTTCTTCCTGCTCCCTTTCAGAAAATTTTGTTCCAACACTCTTGATGCGTCTACATAATATAACCTTATCTTAAGTTACTGCTTATTATGGAGGGCCCCATAGAATACATATTAGAGATCTCCACGACTAATTTACCTCATTTCTCATTAAGTAAAATTTCCCTATTAGGAAGTTTCCCATTCTGAGTCCCATAAAAATAGTTCAAGAGAGTTTTACTGTAATTATTTATGACTCTTTAATAGATTCTTTTATAGAACCATAGAAATGGTTCCATTTTATTTTACTATATGTTACACTGGCACGTAAAATTAAATATGAATATTTGTTACACATGAAGTTAGGCATTTAATAGTACAATTTCAAAACCTGAATAGATCATTGACTTTTTTCTTTAATAGCTGATTTTTGCCACTGTTGTTGTTGTTTCCATGAACTGTTTAAAGTCCTCCCCCCCATTTAAGTGTGCATGTGTGTGTATCTATTGAGTCAGTTCCGACTCATAACGATCCCATGCACAACCGAAAGAGACAGCGCCTGGCCCTGAGCCACCTCACAATTGTTGCTACGCTTGAGCTATTTTTGCCATAATAATTTTAAACACACCTATTATTTCCCAGAATTACCCTTTAAAATATCCATTACTTATACATATTATTTTTGATATTGTTTCAAGGGTCTTGAAAGGTTTTTAATGTGAATGACAAAAATATTAATATTTATAAAAACTTCTATTGCTATTTTTTTCAGATTTTAATTTCTGTACAGGCTTACATCAAAGATATTAAAGTTCATAAAAAAAAGTTTATATGCTGCCAAAAAAGAAGAAGAAACGACAAAACTTGGAAGAATTTATAAAGACAAATTCCCACAGAACACTTTCTCTTTTCCTATCCAAGTCTTTCTGAATAGAGAATTTGAATGAAAGAAATATAATTATTTTATTTTATTATTCTTTGGAACATTTTATTGAAATTTGGGCAGAAGTTTACAGAGCACATTAGTCTGTCATCCAACAATTCATACACATATTGTTTCCTCTGCAATCCCTTCAGGATAACAGCACTCTTCTGACTTCCTCACTAGATTCCCTGAGAAACTGATGTTTTTTAAATTAAAATATTATCTAAAACCAATCATCTTCATTTCAAATTCTGATATTTGCTTACAATGAAGAGCATTTTTAAAAGACACTGCAGTGATGTGTTCCCGACATACCCAGGCAGCCCTAGTCCCCAGACCAGGTTCCAACCTTGACCATTCCAAGGCAATTAAGGTACCCAATCTCCTTGGCCAAACTTCCTCTCTCATACTTTGGACATATTGTCAGAAGGGGCCAGTCGCTGGAGAAGGATATCATGTTTGGTAGGGTGGAGGGTCATAGAAAAAGAGGAAGACCCCCAATGAGATGGATTGGGCAAGTGGCAGCATCGATGGACTCAAATATGGCAACAGTAGTGAGGTTGGCCCAGGATTGAGCAGTGTTTCGTTCTGCTGGGCATAAGGTCGCTATGAGTATCAACTCGATGGCACCTAACAACAACAACAAGAAGCTCCTTGCTTGTGATTTCCTTCAGTATCCATGTTTAAGAAAACACAGAATTAGCTTGGAACCCTATGACTCATTAAACCACAGGAACGGGTCATCATCTGGAGAAAGATTTCCTTTTACACCTGCTGGAGATCAGCCCAGATGCACACTGTCTTGGGGGGCCACTGATTGATACTTCTACAACTGGAAGAGAAGAGAGTCTATAGACAAAGGTAGGGGGAGACGGAGTTTTGAGGATGACAGTAAAGCAGACAAGAGACCAGAGGGGATGATGAGCAAGTAAACTACTAACCTTTTTCTTGTTGTTGTTAAGTGCTGTCAAGTTGGTTCCAACTCACAGCGACACTGGAGTGGCTGGTGAGTTTGAACTGTCAACCTTGTGGTTAGCAGTCCAGTGCTTATCCTACAGTGCCACTAGGGCTCTTTAATTACTTAAAAAAAAAAAAAAACAAAAAAAAAAACACTCTTTTTAAAATTTCATCTTCGTTCTAGGGGGTGAGCACATTTAGACATTTCATTTGATCTGGGGAAAAAATGTGTACATGCACTCACACTGGAGGGCGCTTCTGAAAGTTCCTAGGAAACCTCATCTAAGACTGAAACTCAAAGGGAGCACATGAGCAGGCATGGAAGCTTTCTGGTGCTCACATTGGTCTACTGGTAAGTGAAAAAGGGGTGAAAGGCAGCAATAAAGAAATGGGCAAAGTTCAACCACGTTCCACAGACTCCTGTGGACTTGGAGATGAGAGAGAGAAGAAGAAGGGCTGGTTAGTCCAAAATATGGTGAGACCTGGGGACACCTGAGCCTATGGACAGGGA